TATTTCATTTTCAAATACAAAGGAAGGTTTTGCTGAGTAAGTTATTCTGGGCTGACAAAATTTTTCCTTTAGGATCTGGAATATGCCACTTTATTCCCTTCTGACCTGCAGAGTTTCCTATGAGAGGTCAGCTGTAAGTCTGATTGAGGTGCATATTGATGTTTCTCATTTGCATATTCAAATATCCTTCTTTTATGTCCAACCAAGGAGAGCTTGATTATGACATGTTGTGGTGAGGATCACTTCTGGTTGAGTCTATTCGGGGTTCTCTGCCTGTCCTGCATTTGTTTTCCTGGTTTTTTCTCCAGACTGGGGAATTCATTCATTTTCTCATTGAATACATCTTTAAACTGAGCTTCTCTTTCCACGCCTTTAGGTGCACCAAGAATCCATATGTTTGGCTTTTTGATGTTGTCACGTAATTCTTTTTTGTTAAGATTTATTTGTTTTTATTTCAAAGTCAGATATACAGAGAAGAGGAGAGACAGAGAGGAAGATCTTCCATCCAATGATTCACTCCCCAAGAGACTGCAACAGCCAGAGCTGTGCTGATCTGAAGCCAAGAGCCAGGAGCTTTTTCTGGGTCTCCTTCATGGGTGAAGGGTCCCAAGGCTTTGGGCTGTCCTTGACTGCTTTCTCAGGCTTCAAGCAGGGAGCTAGAAGGGAAGCGGGGCTGCCAGGATTAGAACCGGTAGCCATATGGGATCCTGGTGCGATCAGTGCAAGGACTTTAGCCACTAGGCCACCGCACTGGGCCTTGATGGTGTCATGTAATTCTTGCATAGTTCTCTTAGCTTTACTCAATTCTTCTAGTTTTAAATTGCTTCAGCCTTCCCGCATGAAGGGTTTTCTAGTTTTGCAATTCTTGCTTCTGCCTCACTCATTTTATCACTGAGGTTTTCCATTGGACTTTTAGTTTTCTCTATTGAACTTTTCATTTCAGTCTGATTTTGTTTTGATGCTGCTGTTTTCTTTGTAATGCATTCCTTGAACTCCTGCACATGCTTCTGGATGTTTTTACTAAGCTTTATAAAGGTTTGTTTTTTCAATTTGTTTATCCCATAGCTCCTCAGTGTCTTCCTAAGTCAGTTCTGAGATTGAAATATCCTTTTGATCCTTTGTGGAGGAGGCATCGATAAAGTTTTTCGTGGTGCCTGTGCCTCATTTGCTCTTGGATATTGTGGTTTAGATTAGCAGATTCTTCTTCTTGGCACTGATTTTTAAACCATGTTGTCCACAGGTCTGTAGGGTGAGTTTACTGATGCCTTGCAGTGATGGCTCTCAGTTTGTGTCACTCATGTCCAGCGAGTTTCAGTTCTGGGTTCCCATGCCATTCTCCTGCCATGGCCTCAGCAGCCAAGGCTTCTAGATTGTCTCACTTTGCCCTGGAATTCTATGTCATGACCACACCATCTGCTCAGTCTTCCTCCCGTTCACAGGTCCACCAGTATCTGGGATTAAGAAGATAACCAGCTATGTTTTCAAACTGGATCACTGGGCTGTCAGTCCTACCTGTCCCTGATGAATGCACATGTATTTTTATTCTTGCCAGAACTTGCTAGCAACTAGGTTTAGGGGCACCTCGAACTGTGTTGGATGAAATCCATGACCTGCTAAGTCAATATTGTTTTCCTGGACTGACCAGTGAAATGTTGTGAGCCAGAATTGGGTTCTTTCTCGGTGTAGAATATGTGTCTTTATCCTATTCCACCATCTCATTCTGCCCTCATCTATTTTATGTATTATAATACCATCAATTGTGGTAAAATAAAATGTAAGTAGAAATTTCACAAAATAATTACCATGTTGATATTTACAAATATTAGAGATTTTATGTTAACTTAAAAAAAATCAATGAAATGGTGGTCACAGTGTGACAAAATTGGCTCATGTTATAGCAACATGAATTCTTCTAAAATTGAAACAAAACATCAAAATTGTGCCTGTGAAATGTGGAATAATAATGAAATCACTGAAACTTTACAAAAAGTTAACGGGGACAAAATCCCAAAAAGACCATTGGTTTACAACTGGAGAACTCATTTTTAGAAAGTAAAAGACAAGAATTGGGCCAGGCAGGAAGGCTCAGTGGCTAAATCCTCACCTTGAAACTAGTGGGATCCCATGAGAGTTCCGATTTGTGTCCTGGCTGCTCGACTTCTCATCCAGCTCTCTATTTGTGGCCTGGGAAAGCTGTAGAGGATGGCCCAAAGCCTTGGGACCCTGCGCGCCCATATGGGAGACCCAAAGGAAGCTCCTGGCTTCAGATAAGCTCAGCCTCGGCCATTGTGGCCACTTGGGGAATGAATCAGCAGACAGATCAGTCTCTCCTCTCTGTAAATCTTCCTTTCCAATATAAATAAATAAAATTTTAAAATACAAGGATGAAGATTAGACTATCCATTCACATCAATTCACAAGGAAAAACAGTTTATCGTGTTTGTGCCCTAATTAGAGAAAACTGACATTCTTCAGTGGAAACAATAGAAAAACACTTTTAGATATCCTAGTTCAAGTTGGACAAATCTGAGTAAAAAACTAAAGTGGAGCAAACTTCCTGACTGATGAATGTCAAAATCATTGTGCCCGGATCAGCTGCAGATAAGAGCAGAGGTTTTGGCGGAAGTTTCAGTACATTGCAGCATGGCTGTACTTGTAGGATCTTGACCATCAAACACAATCAAAGCAGTGGCTACCAGGAAGTAGAAGTGGTATGTCCAAAGGAAAGCGGGCCAACAAGAGCCAAGGTTGTGGCAGAAGGTTTTTGACATGCTCGAAGCATGTTGCTTGTTGGCTGTTTTGAGAGCGAAAGAATGATAACGTATGTCTATTATGACAGTGTTTTAAGGAGGTGAACTAAAAGCCGCACCGAAACATTTTTCTCTGCCATAACATTGTTCCTCTCGTTTTGTGAGATTTGCAGTAGGAAACCACTAATTATCCACCTCACACTCCTAAGAAGCCTGCTGCTGGCTTGCTTTTTCTGATCTTTAAAAAAAAAATTGTTTCCAGGACACCTATTTTTCTCCACTTGTTAATCTGCCGCAGGTTACATCGACACAGTTAAACTCCCAGGATCCTCAGCTTCTTCGAAATGGACTAAATGATGTTATTGCTTAACAATAGTGTCTTGAAGTTGATGGAACTTACATCAAAAAGTAAAGTTTATAACTTCTAATTTTTCTAAAATGTATTTATTTATTCCATGGCAGTAACAGAGAGGGAGAGAGAGAGCAAGCTTCCATTCTCTGATTCATTCCCCAGATTCTCATAAGAGTTGGTTCTGGGCCATGCCAGAACAGGAGCAAGAAAATTCCATCCCAGTCTCCCCTGTGGGTGCCAAGAGCCCAGGTCCTTGGGCTGTTGCCTGCTGCCTCCCAGCATGCCGAGGTAGGAGCTGGAGCTGAAGTGCAGGCAGCGTGGCTGGGTCTCAGATACATTGATGCCGTGTTTTAACTGTTGCACCAAATGCCTACCTCCTTTGGATAGTTTCTCTCAAACACAAAGAGAAAGCACACATGCTTAATTTTTCTTTTTACTTTAGTCTAATTTGAAAAGCAGAGTGTAGTAAAGGGTGTAGCTCAATTACTTTGTTAAAAGCTTCGTGACAATATCATTATTATTCTCAGTTTAGAGCTGTAGAAACGGAGGTAGAGAAGGCTGCGTAACTAGCATGAGTCAGCACTGGGTTTTAGACTCAAGTAGTATGTATTCACAAAGTTGGCCATTAGACCTACACACTGCTCTGAAGATTTTAAGACCTCTTTTCTTTTTCTAAAACATTTAGCTTTGTTAAGTTTGTTGTGTTTTTGTTCTAAAATACATAACACAGAGAAGTGCAAAAACGACTTCAGTGAGCACAAGTGGTTTACCCATTTTTGGCATCTGGTTTTAGAGTGCTAGTTTGAGTCCTGACTCCCCTGCTTTTCAATCCACTTTCGTGGGAGGCAGCAGATGATAATCAAGGGCACATTGCTTGAGCCCCTGCCACTCACATGGGAAACCCACATGGAATTCTGGGTTCCGGCCTTCATCCTAACTCAGCCGTGGCTGTTGCAGACTCTTGGGCAATGAATCGCAAATGGAGCGTTTGTCTCTTTGTCTCCTTCTGCTGTTCTACCTTTCACATAGATTAAAACAGCTAGACATTTAAAACAAAGGCTTAAATCACATGGTGACAAAATAATAGAACACTGAACCCAGACTCTTCTTCATCTTTGCTCATAATTTGCTGGAGTGTCCTGGGGCAAATTGCTTTGCCTCTAAATTATTATCACTGGGATAGTTATGTTAGAAACATCAAATTATAGACTGCTTGCAGTCATGTCTAAGATAAGTAAGTAAATTTATCAAAAATTGGGCCCGGCGCAGTGGTGCAGTGGTTAAGGTCCTCGCCTTGCATGCCCAGGATCCCATATTGGGCGCCGGTTCTAATCCCAGCGGCCCCACTTCCCATCCAGCTCCCTGCTTGTGGCCCGGGAGGGCAGTTGAGGACGGCCCAAGGCTTTGGGACCCTTCGCCCATGTGGGAGACCCAGAAGAGGCTCCTGGCTTCAGATCGGCATAGCATTGGCCGTTGCGCTCACTTGGGGAGTGAATCATCGGACGGAGGATCTTCCTCTCTGTCTCTCCTCTCTGTATATCCGCCTTTCCAATAAAAATAAAAATAATAAATCTTAAAAAAAATTGTTTACAAAGGGCCTGTTGCCATAGCCCAGTGGCTGAAATCCTTGCCTTGCACACTCTGGAATCTCATATGGGTACTGATTCTAATCCCGGCAGCTCTGCTTCCCATCCAGCTCCCTGCTTGTGGCCTGGGAAAGTAGTCAGTGATGGCCCAAGGCCTTGGAACCCTGTACCCATGTGGGAAACCTGGAAGAGGCTCCTGGCTCCTGGCTTTGGATCGGTGCAACTGCAACTATTGCAGTGCCTTGGGATGTGAATCAGCAGATGGACCATCTTCCCCTCTGTCTCTCCTCCTTTCTGTATATCTGACTTTGCAATAAAAATAAAATCTTTTTTTTAATTGTTTACATGTTCCAGAAGTGTTAATAGGAATGTATGTCTGATGTACCATGTTTGGCGTTATTTCTGTACCCCCATTGTCATTTGGTGCTGTAGAAAATTATTTTCATAGTCACCCTAAATTCTTTTTCCTTATTCAAATTTTCCTTTTTCCTAGAACAAATTGGTCAGGAGATGCTGGAAAACCTCAGTCATGACAGAGAAAAAATACAGCGAGCACGTGAAAGAGTGAGTACCAGTGATACAGTATTTTCAGACATGCAGGACGATGAAAACTCATACACTGAAGAATCTCTGTAACACGCAGAGAGTTACATGGATGTAAGGGTCAAAGAGAGTTGTAAATTCCATGGAGAGGAAAGGTTGTGTGACAGTTAAAGAAAGCTGGCTGTTTGTACTCCCATCCAAACATAGCCTCCTGCCCCCAGGATGAAGACTGGCCATTTATTTGGCTATATAGCTGAGGAAAGAGTCACTGAGAAAGATGTTTTTTTTTTAGTATTTCAGCATATGAATGCTGAGTGTCTCATCCTCCCTCATTTCATTTTGTTTCCATTGATGTACTTCCATAAACTAGCTATTTATAACCCAGAAGTATGTCTAACTTTGTCAGCTTGGGAAACGTTTGATTTTATACCCAGTTGAAAATCCAGCTCAAAGTTCCTGGGATCACCTCTCCATGTCATTTTTTGAACCAGAATTTTCAGAGTTTATATAGATATCACGATTGGATTTGTTCCCCTGCACTTAAGTATTTCTTATTGTTTATATCTTCTATTCATGAAATGTGGTTTTTGCTTGCCTCGTACTACAGAAGCAATCTAAATTCATAATGTTTTGTTTGGTTTTGTTTTAACTCTGCTTTTTTCCTCCTAGCTTCGGGAAACAGATGCCAACTTAGGGAAAAGCTCCAGGATCCTGACAGGGATGTTGCGAAGGTAAGAGCAAGGTAGGGACCTGCCTTCCTCTCTTTCTTTAACTATGTTTTTCATCAGATTGTAATGAAACGTTTTATGGGCTTGATAGCACCTGCTCTTATCACCATGCACCTTGAGCCTTTGAGCTAAGAGGGCTACTAACTTGCTTGAACAGGGACACATGCAGAGAATCTCTGAAAAGCTCGGATTAGAGAGAAGGCCTGAGCTAAAGTGGTCACCCCAAGCTATGGAAAAAATTAGGGTTAGACATGAAATAGTTTTTCATCACCTTGGGATGGCCCCATGGCAGGATTTTGCTTTTTGTTTTCATAACCTCCTTTGATGGAGTGAGTGCAGACCTACCATTATCAGAAGCACACTTGGCATTAGCCTTGCTCTTTCTGTTGCCTTTGTTCTCATTTCTTTATGGGCACTGTTTGGGGAAACATTTACATTCAATGTATTTACTTAATCATGGCTTCTAAAGCATAAAGGTTATCTGAATAATCTAAGTTCGTATGTGCTAGCAAATGTGTTTACATTATAGATAACCTTTGCTTGATGGACAATACTCAGGATACTATGATAAAAAATTGAGTATATGCATAAGATTCTACATCATTATATTCTGCACAAAATTATTGTACATTCAGAATCTACCAAATAAGATTATCATCTAGCACTACAACAACAGTTTGGATCTATGAATGGGAAGGTCAATGAGGAATGTTTAGACTGACTATAGTCAGTCTAATTTGCAGTTTTAAAGAAGGAAATCTTCTGTATATAGAGACAGCTATTTAAAATCAAAGTCTTCTCTAATCATGTATAATAATTTGCAAAAAAAAAAATGTGCTCACTATTTTAGAGATTTACTGCATAAAAACTGATCAGATGCATTATTGCAACTGATGTACATCCTCTCCCAGCCGGATTGGTATGGAGCCTTAAGCTCCCAGGACCCTTCCAACCAAGGTGACCTCAGTCTCCATCACCCCCACAATTCCAGGACGCAGGTTCCTAACTCAGGACCTTTCACCACCAGCTTATTTGATTAACCGTAAGATATAACCGACCTAAGAAAAACTCAGAACCCATAGACAAAGAAAGTGGCAATTGAAAATATTGCTTCACTGCAAAAAGACAATAAAAAAATAAACAGAAGTGGGGTGGGGGTGGGCTATCACTTCCCTAGGAGGGCTCTTGCAGCCGAGCTGTAACAAATACCCTGCCTATCTCTCCATTTTGTCAAACCTCATTAAAGAACCCCCTGCTTTATGCCAACCGAGCTGTCCAGAAATCATTCATCATTTTTAGTGTAAAAAAAAATCATCTGGTTATTTAAATAATATCATATTAATGTTAAAGTTCAGCTGTCATCTAATGGTATGGCTTAATCAGATGTAGCATTTAGGAAAAATAGTTCATTCCAGCTCTACATGGCTTTCAGGTTGGCAGACTCAAATAAGGATTTATGGGCTTCTAAACCAATGGATTTCTGTCTATGTTTCTGCTTGATGTACCTCACCCTTCAGTGCAGGACACTGCAGACAGTTATTCCAACAAATAAAGCATCTCCTCATATTGTGTTTGAATAAATTTGCAAGTCATTTAGAGAGCGTGAAGCACAAACAACTTATGAAACCTTTGACTGGGGCTTTCTGTAGGAAAATCATTTGAACACTGTCCTTTCAGAAACCCACAGAAGAAGGCTGCTCGGTGAGATCTGTTTGGGGTTCTCTTTGTAGTGCCCTCACGTTCTCTGGCCCATCTCCTTTTGGGATATTTCTTGAGTATGAACCCCGGGATGGTTGTGTCTTAGCCAAGGCAACCCTCAAGTCTACATGGGAGTGTGTCTGCCAGCCAGTTGTAGCTGGGATTTTGGTATCAGCAATAATTTGCAGATACTTTTCATCAGTTCTATAACCTAACTCGGTCAGTGGAAGCCAAATGTAGGTGGTAACTTTGTTTTTGTTCCTGTTTATTATATACATGTTTTGCATGTTATTTTGAATGTAATTTAAAAGGCAGGAGCATTTTACCAGCCTCTTAACTTTGTTATTTTGGGTTATTTCCTGGAATGGCAGTGTAGAGGAAAGGAACTAGGGTTGAAGCCCTGAAGTCTTAACTTTTACTACTATGATTTTACATCTTCTGTAACGCCCTTCCAGTTCACACGGAAGTTCATCATTTGCCTCCAATGATCTGGAGCCATTGTTTCAGACAAAAGAAGGCGTGTCTTCATACTCATGTTCTTACCAAAGCTGTGTGGCTGTGTCTTGTGTGAGCAGGTTCCTCGGGTTTAGGAAACATTGTGATATTGTACCGTCTGCTCATCTCTCCCCTTCACAAATATATGAAAGAAATGGATGTCCTCTGTGAGTAGGTTTATCTGCATAACATAAGGTTACTTGTTTTTCTTGATGGGTTCTGTGTGATGGTAAATACTTAGTCTATAGTATATCAAAGAGTTGCTTCTTCTAAAAGAAAGATTATAGGTTGTTTTTAGTCTGCTAAACTTAAATCAGTTTTAAATTTTTGAGACAAATAAACACTGTGTGGCCAAACATAGTGTGGCCTGCTTTGTGACATGTTCTGAAGACAGATGTGAGATCACTCAGCCGCAAGTACCAGTGTAGTACTGTTAGTCCACTTGTCATCTCCTAGACGTCAAAGCATGTGGGGAAGCAAAAAGGAGTAAACAAGAAATACAAATATTAACTTTATAAAATCAAATATACTAAATAATAATCTGCTACTCAAGAATTTTATCCTTTACAAGGTTAAAATGAGGTAGAAATCTTCCCCTTCCTTCTTTTCTTCCTCTTCTTCCCTTTTTCCCTCCTTCCACTCCTCCTCCCACCACTCTTTCCCCCTTTCGTTTTCTTTCTTCTGCTTATTCATTAAATATTTAGTGTCTGTGTACCAGGGCTGGGGATCCTGAAATGAAACCAATTTCATCCTTGTCTTCAGAGTGCTTCACTGTAAGAGAGAATGTGCAGATAAGACCCAACTGTGACAATTCACAGAAGCATCTCATTCTCGGGGACGCTATTAAAGATTCCGCAGCGCTGACTAATCCTTGCCAATCCCTAAAAAAAGAAACGAGGAAAACATATAGCCATTAGAAAACGTGTTTTAAATCACCAAAAAACCAATATGTTGGAGAAAAATTAGGGAAACAAGTTTTGAAGGAACTAAAGTAATCAGAAAACATTGAAAAAAAATCATTCTTTAAATGAGCTACACTATAAAACCAAAAGAATGAAAACAAGAGAAAAATCAGTGCATTCAAAATTGTGATAGAAAAAGGTGCCATCAGAACACAGTCAAGCTGATCTTTCCTGGAACTGTTGTCTTGTCTGTCTTGACATAAGATGGAGAGCTGCTTTGGGACCGGGACGTGCTACTTGTTTCCTGACTCCACAGGTTCATAAAGGAGACTACAGCTAAGCATGAAAATGGTCCTGAAACAAATGACCATTCATATGCTAACTGGCACCAAGAAATGGATTTTTCATTAAATTCACATTTGGTTATTGTAATTGGTTGTCTTCACGTGCGCCAAGTGTCACTGGGAAGCTTAAATGTCTCTTTCCTCATACTTGAGTGTTTGTTTCTGTGGGTTTTTGTTCTTGTTTTTTGCTTAGCAGTGTGCCTGGGATGTCTTATCTTAGCATAAATGAAATCAAAGATTCTCAACACCTTTAAGAAAAGGCAATCATGCTTCTATTTCCCTTTACCTTTGACGAGTTGAGAATTGATCAGTGGTAGTATATGTGCTTCTCCAGCTAGCTGCAGGATTCCTGCGGAGTGTAACAGACTTCGGTTTGAGAGCGCCTTTGAGATCAGCTTGGAGGACAGGATGCAGCTTCACATTGGGGCATCTGTTTTGCACATACAGGCAAATGGCTTACAAAAAGGAATGCCACATGCAATATTTTTGAAAACACCTTTTCTGCACTAGGATTTCTTTTTTTTTCTTTTTTTTTTGTATTATATTTTTCACAATCTTTACATAGTTAATTAGGGTAAAAAGGTTCAAGGGCTATAGGGAAATTTGTAAGACCATTATTTCCATATTGTTTCCTTCATATATCTGAGGTAAAAGGGGATATTGAGGGAGAAGCCCCACCCAGTTTCCCACCCACCCCAAGTCCCGGATGTGGGGCATGCTCTGAGATACTTGCTCAGGTGGTTTTGATAGTTCACCAGTTATGAATCGCTGCCAGTCTCACCACTCCGAGCACGATGAGGTCATTGAAGAATCCACTGATTGACATAGTCCATCATAGAGTCTCCATTTGCCCAGTATTTTGCTGCCAACATATAGCTGAGGTGGTTGATTGACCTGTTCTGTCTTCTGTCTTTTCTTGGTTAGGGTTCTGAGTCCGGCATTTCGATTGGGGAGATCCCCAAAGAAACTTTGAGGTATTCCCAGACCAGATTCTTGTGTGTTCTAGCAAGCACAGGGCCTGGCACAGTCCATCACCCCGATCAGCTGGTGGTTGCAATTGCTGGGTTGGTTCTGTTTTCAGCCCCGCCTTCCACTGGAACCAATGGGTGTTGCAGTCCAGCCTGGTTCTGCCCAGCACATACTCGGCCCTCACATAAACAAGTGGGAGCTGCAGCCTAGTCAGGGCGACCCACAATAACCCCCACCAGGCCCGCCCCCTACCCTGGTTTGCCAGTATGTGTAGCAGACTAGTCCAGTCTGTCCCACATCTCATTTGGCTCTCATACATGTCAATGGGTATTGAAGCTTAGTTCCATCTAACCAGCTCAACTATCCAGCCTTCACTGATGTTGAGTGCCTCTCTGTCTAGCCACCCAAGCCCCCATCCTAGTTTTCGAGCCCTCCCGTGGGAGTGGTGACCCAAGAGGGAAGAGCCTACTATTTCCCTCCCAGGTCTCCCGGTTTATGCACTCTTCAGGTGATTCTGTGGTTTGACTTGATAGAATTAGCCCCCAGTGCTAGCTTCTGCCAGCTGATGCTGCGGCTAAGCCCAAACAACCTTCACCCACTCTAATTTATGCTTGCACCAGTAGGAATAATCAGCCCAGCCTGGCTTTTCCCTGATCTAGTCCACATGAGGCTCACAGGTGTTGTAGCCCTGCTTAGTCTGGTCTGTCCCCATCCCAGCCCACGCTCTCCAGTGGGAGTAGCTGTCCGGCAAGGGGAACCCCCCGAATTCCCCCTGCCGGCTCTGCCCTCTCCCTTCCTGATTCTCACACGTGCTGGTTGGGTGCTGCAGTCACATCCGGTACAGGCAACCTCACCTTGGCATTCCTTATTGTGCACTGGTTTTTGTCGTGACCAAACCTGTGCACTAGGATTTCAACAGCCAATAACGTCCTCTTTTCCCCATGCTACGTGTGCTTTCCCAACTATTTACACACCAGCAATCATGTTTTCTTCAAAATGTGAATTTTGTTTTATCCTTTAGGCAGGAATGTGGCAGTTTCTTTCCCCATGGAGATGCTGAGATGTCTTTCGTAACTAATCTGTAATGTAAACAAAGCAGAAGATAGTAAATGCCATGGACCTGGCTAGCGCTAGCCACACAATACTGCTTTACAGCTGTGGTGCAGTTGGAGCCAAACTCATCTGGGAATAACTGCTACCTATCACTGTTGTGACATTTTATATTTTAATGCAGTCTCATTACTTTGTAACAGTTGGAAAGTTTAAATGCACTGTCAGAATGATTCCTAAGAGTTAACAGACCTGGAATGCCAACGCATGATCGGTATGCAATAGAACAGCAAACTTTCAAGTAAGCAGATTTTAAATATGCCATGACTAGGTGTTCCTTAAAAGTTCATTCTTTTTTTATTTTCATTTTGCCCAGACAATATTTTTCTTGCATAGTAATTGTTCTTACTATAATACTAGAAGTTTTCCAGAACTTATGAGAAAAATGCCCTTCAAATGGACTCTCAATTTTTGTGTACTGAGATGGCTCTCTCGTTGTAGCACATCACATTTGCTTTTTTACCTGTCTCTCTCTTGTCTGTTCTCTGTCTTTATTTTTCTCATCCCTTCTTCTCAGCCTGTTTACTTACTGGTGATAAGCATGGGACCCTTACCTGAAATACATGCAGCAAACTCTTGACCTTTAAGTCATTTTTCAGTTTTAAACCAAGTACATTTTCTCTCAGATTGCGATAGTTGAATTTTCTGAAGATTCATTAACCAAGCACATTTTATGCCTGAGCTAGAATATTGCTACAAAAAGAGATTTTAAAAAAAAATTGTTCCTGCAGTTGCATTGTTACACAGAGGGCATAGCTGCCATCTGCAATACCAGCAGCGCATGTTGGCACTGGTTCATGTCCTGGCTGCTCCACTTCCAGTCCAGCTCCTTGCTAATTGCCAGGAAAGCAGTAGAAGATTGCTCATACCACTGCTACCTAACATGGGAAACCAGGATGAAGCTTTTGGTACTTGTCTTCTGTCTGGCTCAGCCCTGGCAACTGTGGTCAGTTGCAGAATGAGCCAGTGAGTGGAAGATTTTTCCCTCCCTCTCTGTTTGTTACTCTGCATTTCAAATAAACATGTAAATTATTTTTAGAAAATAAAAGAGGGTCTGTGCCATTGCATAGCAGGTTAAACTGCTGTACTTGACGCAAGCATCTCATATGGGTGCTGATTCAAGTCCATCCCGACTATTCCACTTCCCATCTAGCTCCCTGCTAATGTGTCTGGGAAGGCAGCAATAATATGACCCAAGTGGTTAGGTACCTGTACCCGCATGGGAGAACCTGGAGAAGCTCATGATTCCTGGCTTCAAACAACCCATCTCCAGCCATTGTAGCCATTGAGCAGGTGCAAGATTTTTCTCTCTTTCTCTCTCTGAGAATCTTCCTTTCAAGTAAAAATAAGTTTTAAAAAATTCTAATAATAAAACCATCGTATCTTACACACATACACACAGAAAATTCCAAAGAACATCTTGACTCTTTTTAAATGAGTGTTACTTTGTCGTTAAGTTGTTACCTTTATCATGAGACTGCTTTTTTCTTTTAGATTTATTTATTTGAAAGTCAGAATGAGAGAGAAAGAAAGAAATGAGCATCTTCCATCCACCCATTTACTTCCCAGATGGCCACGTGTGCTAGGGCTGGGAGAGGCTGAAGCCAGGAGCCAGGAGCTTCATCTGAGTCACTCAGCTGCGTGGCAGGGACCTAAGTACTTGGAACATTTTCTGCTGCCTTTCCCAGGGAACTGGATAAAAATGGAGCAACCAGGATAGGAACCAGTGCTCACATGGAATGCCCACACCACAGGTGGTAGCTTTATCCCTGCACCACAATACTGGTTCCCATATGGCCCCTTTGAGACCAGTAAGGGTGATTTTTTTTAATTATTTGTTTTACTTGAAAGCCAGAGCTACAGCAAGAGGGAGAGATGGAGAGAGCAGCATTCCATCCATTGGTCCACTCCCCAAATGGGCCTAATGGCCAGAGCTGGGTTGGTTCAAAGCTGGAGCATGTGGGACACAAATTGGCACCTGTATGGAATGCCAGTGTCAAGTGGAGGATTAACGTGCTGTACCACATGTCAGCCCCATGGATGATGTTTTTTAATAAAACTCTTGTAGCTTTATTTTTTTAATATTTGTATTTGCTTACTTATTTGAAAGGCAAAGGATAGAAACTATGGGAGATCTTCCATCCACTAGCTTACCTCCCAAATGCCTGCAACAGCCAGTACTAGATCAATCTGAAGCTAGACTCTTAGACTTATCTCTGATTCTTGCATGTGAGTGGCAAGAACCCAAATCCACAAGCTATAACCTGCTGCCTCCCAGGTTTGCACATTAACAGGAAATGGGCTCAGAAATGGAGCAAGGACTCAAACCCATGCATTCTGATAATGGGTGTGAATGTCTTAACTGCTGAGCCAAATAACTGCACCCTTGTGAATGTAAACATAGAATTTCAGTCTTGTGTCAGACACTTAAATGTCACATCTTAAGTTATCAGTCCAGCTACTCTGTCCCTGTATGCTCTGGTTGAGCCTTAAATGTGTACATGGGACTGGAAAGCAAAAACTTCACCCATGTCAACTGGTATTAACCCTCAACATTCCTATGAAGTAAGCATTGTTATCACCACTTTACAGATGAAGATAACTGTGCTTAATGGAGTTCGTTAAATTCTCTGGTGTCACATACATAGAAAGGGGCAGAATTAAGACATGAACTTATTCTGCTCTTTTGAACACTCTGCACAAGCTTGCCGAATGCCAGTTTACAGATGAGAACCAGTGTTCGCTAACTAATGGCAAAGTGAGAAAAGGAACAAAATGCAGTTTTCAAAATGGTGATTTTTGCTGTTATGTGTTGGGTTACTAATTCTATTTCTGTCAAATAATCGCATCACAAGCAATTTTCCTAAGTCAGTCCATTGTTCACAACAAGTCAAAAAGTAGGTCCTTGGAAATATTAAATATTGACAATCATGCCAATATTCCCACCTTCCTTGCCTCATCCCATTTTACTAGCATGGGAAATCTACAGTTCATTCCATCTGCTGTCCCTCAGTAGCCAAACTACTGTGACTTACGTGCTGCCTTCCTAGGGGGTGGACACAGTCCTAGGCTCCAGATGCACATTATCATCTGTCTCCTTCATAGTGTCTTTACAGGTGAGGTATTATGACTTGCATTTTAGGAAAC